TTGAAAGAAATATTGAGGTTATTAAGTGATATTAAGTTTACAGAAGTGCTCAGGATATCTGTTATTTGTTATTTGAAGACACAGTCAATTATTCCCTATCAAACTCAGAAACATAAAAAGTGAAAAGTATTTCCAAATAACATAGTGTGTTTATACATATACACATATATATATATATATATATATATATATATATATATATATACACATATATATATATATATATATACACACATATATATATATATATATGTATATGGAAAAAATCTAACCAGAAAATTTCTAATACAAAACACAGGATCCAGTCATTGATTTTGCCTTTGGAACAAACACAGAGGGAAAGATTGATAAAGACATGCCTGCAGACAAAAAATGGGTTAAAATGATGGGAGTTTTACCAAAGATAAGTTGCACCATATGATTCTGTTATCTTAAATACATTAGTGACTAAATAAAAGTGATATAAAATAAGCAAACTTCAAAAAATAACCCTCCCTCCACCAAGCAAAAACAAAACCAAAAGCCTCAAAAAAACACCAAAACATTTATTGGATATGTGTCACAGGAGAACTTGTTAGTCAGGCAGTTTTGTTCAGCAGAATCCTGTTATGACAAGTAAAATCTGGAAGAAGTGTTGGCAAAAGGCTGTATTCAATAGTAAAAGTTTCTCTAGGAGAGGAAAGTTTGAGCTCCTTTTTTCAGTAATGAACCTGGCAAAAGGATAGAAAAGGATCAAGGGATACCACTGGTGTTTTCAGATGATGTGGGCAATGCCTGAGAAAAAGAGAATCAGGATATTATACAGAAAGAGATGAGATGGGGGACTGGAGTCCAAGGAATGAAATTACCTATGGTAGAACAAAGGGCACTGGAGGAGCAATGAAAACAAAACAGATGACTGTGCCAAAATTCCTGCTGCTGGCACATTGCCATCCAGACAACAATATCTATGTTGTTATGTTCCTATCTGTTGCTGTGTTTTGGATGATAAAAATTTGTAAACTCTTTATTTCCTAGACTGGCCATTTCCTTGCAGGTTTGAGGCTTGAGTCCCAGGGTGCAGTTTGTAAATACAAGTCAAAATGCTTAAAAGTAATATTATAATCTTTTTCAGAACAAATGATGAGACTGATTACTGTGGCTTGAATTTTGCATCCATTTTACAATTGCCTTATAAAACTTTCAAAATAATGTTTCTAAATCAATGCAAATTTTTTCCACTGTTTCAAAACCATAGTCTAGTCTAGTGGTCCAAAAATATAATTTTATGTATTGCAATTCTAGCTTTTTCATAGAGATCTTGAATCTCTATTTTAGAAAAAAAGCCACATTCCTTTGGCATGTTAAATACAGTCTAAAGGTACACATAGTGGTATTGCCAAATACAATTTCCAAAACCACATTTCTCAAATCCTGTGTCCCCAGGTTGCTAGAAATGACATTCTGTAATGAGCTGTAGGTACTTTTTGATTAGCATAGGGATGAACATCCCTCTGTTTATCGTTTTTCTTGCACCAATGTGACGTCTCTGCTGATTACTCACATTATGGTTAATTTGCAACTGATAATCAGTCCTAGTTTCTTAATAAACTTCTCATTAAGAGACTGGAGCTGTCACTTTACCTCCATGTTACTCTTCCTTAGTATAATCTGTGACCATTATGCAAAAGAAAGGACTGCTGGACGTCACACATGTCATTTGCAATCATGTACAAAAGCTTCAAAAGGAGCTTGTTAAGTAAATGCCCTTCATAAATCATTACTGTAAAATAGAAAGGTATAACTAATCACCATATTGGCACCCTGTTGCTGTATTTGGCTTTTTTGAAGAGGATGAATGTTCAGCCAGCAGACATTTTAAAAGATCTTTACAAAATGCTTTCAGGGATCTCCCTGAATGTTTTGTGCTTTGCTTACACTACAACAAAACCAGCAGCTTAGTAGCAGAGAGGCTCAAGCTGAGTCACCTGGAAGAGCCTTTAAGATTCTTTCTGACTCTGTTTCCTTCAGGAAAAAGTGATATGATTGAGTTTTGGTGCCCAGGAACTTATCTTGTACCAACTGGTTGAAAGTAAATTTTCAAATTAACATTCTGAGCCCAGGGTAAGAATGAAGTAATTCAATGTCATCTGCAAATAAATAAATTGCAGATATTTGTGTTAGTTCATACTAAAAAAGAATAAATACATGCTTATGGATAACTGTCCCACTTCAGGGGAGGTGCAGTTGCAGTAGCAGTTAGGTTACATTAGTCTGGCCATATTGCTTGTATTGTCACTGTAAAATAGGTATGGAGATTTCCTGAATAAAATTCTTAACTTCAGTCTTCTGAGCAACTCTGTGACTCTGAAATCCCACCCCAAGGTCTACCAGTCAAGTGCTTTGACAATTCTTCATGAAGAAGAAAAAATGAAACCATGAGAGTTGGAGTGAGATTTAAAGTTAAGATACAGTACTTTGAAGGTTTTCTTTTTGGGATCTTTTTTTTTTTTTTTTTCCATCTGAGTGGGTTTCGTCTTGACAGGGGCAGCATAAGCAGCATAAGTAATAATAAATGCAGGGTAGGGCTCTGAAAGAGAATTAAAGATAAAGTCAAGAAGACAAGCAAGCCAGAAATAATGAAAAGAACCCTTCCTCTTCTGAGAGGGATCCCTGACTCTGTGCTTCCTATGTAGAATTTTTGTACATTCAGAAACCCTCAGCAATAGCATGTTGCTATTATTTCCTCACAGGGAAGTGTTTGTGGGAGAGTAACTTCTAAAAAATGCATTCATTATGTTTACTCATTATCTTGCTTCCAATCACAATTTTTAGTCTGGTTTAGCCAAAAACAACCCCAAAAACAAAAACAACAAAACCCACCCAGCCAACCAAAAAAAAAAAAAAAAATCCCATCTAAATATTCAAGCGTTTAGCAGTGAGTTGCACAGCCTGTATCTGAGCTATGACCAGACAAATGGTATCTTTAAAACCTACTTATCCTTTGGCTTATGTGAATCTTCCTTTCTTAAATTATCTACAGAAGCTCATTTCCAGTGTGCACATGTAAATTAAATGCTGCATCTCTGTATCTAACCTAAATTTTTTTCCTTTTAATGTCTTGCCACTGCTTTCTGAGATAAAGATTCTTTGCCTCTGAAAAATTTTTCCTTTTATTCTTTCCATATCTTCCTGAAAACAGTAAAACTTAACAAACAAACAAAAAAAGAAAAAAAAAAAAGAAAAACCACAAGACCCACAAGACAATAAAGTATTCAGGATTTTTAGATTAGTAGTGAACTAAATCAAAATTTTCCCTCTTGGGTTTTGTGATGACTTTACAGAAATTGTCACAACTGATCTCAGCAGGAAATACAGGTTTATACATTAGGACATAATGTGTGAGGCGATGACACTCCATATTTTTCAGGAACTACAAAACATTCAACACAGAAGTGTTTTTCAAAATCTCTTATTTTCTCTCAGGGATTTTCAGTTGATGGGACACCAACATTCATTTTTAATATGTTTTAGGAACAGAAAAGCTTTGTTTTAGAATTGTCTTCAGTAGTCATTCTTCCTGGTTTTACCATTATCCTGCTGTGCACTGGCCATTCCATAGTCTTTAGTTCACATTATTTAAATTTTTTTTCTGCACCTTTAGGACTTCATCACCACATCCACTCACAAATTAAAGCTGATAAGAATTGATTATAAAATACTATATACTCTATTTCTTTTTACATTGTAAATTGAAATGTTTAACTTGGGAACAAGACTCTTGTCTAGTTCCATATGTTCTTTGATTGTGGCTATAAAAATAAGCTAATTATTTCCAGAAACCAATTGCTTTTCATTAAGAAACAATTGCAAAGATTTGATTGTCTATGAGTGTGTTGCAAAGATATTTTGAGTGGATTAAATTTTTAGTTACACACAATCATCAAGTTCCTGTCACATTTCAGTGTTATTGATTTGAAACAGAAGTGGAATTTTGATATCATTTTTTCTGCACTGTATATTGTGTAATTATTCAGATGCTTCATTTTCATTTGTGCTTTCCTACTTGTTTTAAATGTTATTACTTGCTTCAATGCTTTTTCATTTTAGTGAATACACTGATAAATATTTCTATCAATTGCAGATGTGATTTTTGCATAAGTAACTGGAATCCTACTGCCACGGTTTAATACAATATTAGACATTAGAGGAACTTGTAGAAGCAATTAGAAAGTCTATGCATGCATTTGTTTATTGAGTTACTTAAAAAATGCTCTAAAGGGATTTTGAGCAGAAAAAGGGACATTAAGGCTGTTAGTTTTACTGTCAGATTTTTAGCTGTCCTCACTACGGGTAAAGTGCTATCACCATCACCCCAGTCTGCCTGTAAACTGCAATTCCTTTTTGTTCTCCCAAAGAAGGGATGAGCACAGCTGTGGGCAGTGGGACTGACAAGGCATCTCCCCCAGCTGCAGGGGAAGTGCTGTGCTTCAGGTTACACCAAAATGTAAATTTCAAACTAGAAGCATATCTTGGATACCTTCATGCATTTTGTGCTTTTTTCCTCATTGAAATTGGGATTTAATAAGAGGAATACAAGGTTGCTCCATGAGCAACCATTCTAAAATCAATTGGAATATTTAAATAAGAAACTAGCAGACTCAAACTTCCAGTTCTGGTTTCATCTTCCTTTCCAAATTCAGTCACAGAAAGGAGTTGTCTGTATAATTAATTGTAAGGTGAACCTTATTAAATATTACTGTTGTTTTCCCCCCTCCATTTTTCAGACTAATAAAAAGCACAGTGGAAAATTTAAAATTTCCACTGCATTTTCTACTTCTGCCTCTCTTATGAGGCACTTAAATGGCTAGTGGGGAAAGCAGTGGGGAAATATATAACCTTGAACTTAATGAAAAAAGATAATGAAGAATTCATTTGTCTGAATGAAAACACATCCTGTATAAAATATTGGAAAACACTTAATTCAGTTTCCAGTTATGATATTTACTTAGGAACAGAAAATGCTTTCAAAATAACTTGTGGAAGTAACAGATGGGCCACTTTGTGTCCCATCACACACAGAATTGATGTGTATTAGAAACTCCCTTGGGTACTGCGGCTGTCAGTGGAGAGGCACCTTTTCCTGGCCACAAAATAGAACAGGAAGATCCTTTTTGTGGCTCAGTTCTCCCCAGTTAATATTGTTTAAAGAGGACTGTGAGATAGATGGTGATGGCCACAGAACTCTGCTGGGAATCACCCAGGGATTGGCTGAGCCTCAGCAGTGGCACAGCAGTGTTTGTGCCAAAGTTTAGTGTAGGGGATCTTCAGAAGTACTGCAGGAGCAAAGCAGCAATGCTGGAGCTTCCCTTCTGGGTCTCACCTTTTAATCTCCTATTTTAGCACATTATAGAGCATTATATAGTCTATTAAGTTTTTATTAGTTATATAACACATATTAGTCCAGAAACAAAGAATAACAGGTTCAATACTTATTATCCATGTAGATGGGTTATTTGTAACTCAGTGGTTGGCATTATAGTATAATCATTAATTTCCTTTGCTTTTCTCTTCCCAAAAGGAAGTTTTCACAGCCAGCAAGGAAGAACTGTTTTCAGAACATCACTTGGTAATACTTTTAATTTCCTTTGCATATTTTAATGCAATCAGCACAGCTTACATCTGTGTAGCAATCAAATTACAAAGTCAACATAATCCAATGAAAAGCTGAAGAGCCAAATAATCAAATTCAGATTAATATTAATTGCTGTAGCTTCTGCACCTGGATCTAAAAAACAAAAACAAGAAAACCATCACATATAACTTCATCTATTTAATTGCAATGTTTTAAATAAAAAAAATCACAAGTAAACCAAAACCAAAAGACAAAACCAAATCAGAAAAATAAACACGACCCCTCTCCCCAGAGGATCCAAACCCAAAACTTTGTATATTTTATTTTGTTCCCTGTAACAAGAACAGGTCTTGTCAATATCCAGATTTAGATACATATAGCTCAGACATCCCAGTGAAGCTATTTATAATTTTTCCTTTCCTAACAACTTTTATTAACTCATTATTAATCTTTAAGATGGAAATATTATCCTTATTTGACACAGACATGGATTCTTATAGAACATGTGCAGTTCTAGTTTAGTTCTGGAACTAAATTAGGATTGTGTGTTCATTACTAAAGCAGACCCCAAAGCCAACAGGGTTCTTATTTTCACTTGTTCACACAACCAACAGTGAATACAGAAAACCCAGCAAATAAAAGTAAATTTCCATTTCCAGTCCTTCCCAGAGGTGCCTTTACCCTTCCACTGGAGAGCAGCTGCACATGCAATTAATTCAGCACTCATCCTTGTGGGTCCCTTCCAACTCAGAAAATTCTGTGATTTTTTGAAGTAAATGTGAGGGGTGGGATCTCCAGCTCAGAGAGAAATGAGCTCTTGGGGATGGGGGCAGAGGCCTAGTGATGCAGATTTAATAGATACAAATGGAGAAAAATCACTACTCTGCTAGCAACACATGCATTTTAGTTTTCTGCCCTCATTCCTACATCCTCTTTGGCTGCATCACGTGCCTGATGAGGTGTGTGTGCTATTCCACACAATGGGAACAAAGTTTTCCAGTGGGGGAGTTTCACAGAAAAAAGGTGCAAATGGGAAGCTGGAGAAATGTCACTTTTCTGAAAACAGTAATTAAAAGAAAAAAAAATATTCCTGTTTGTTTGGACTACAGCCATGGGGCTGGTTCTGCAGGTTTGCAGCCCAAGCACAAACTGGACTCTTTCTCCCACTCTGACTTGCCTGTCCTTCACCCAAAGCACAAAACCAAACATATCATTGTTTTGTACATTAGACCAAAAGTTTAGTACCTAAGGCAGATGGAACTTTAATATTGTGCCAGGATTTCACAGTGGACCGTGCTGAAGAGGAGTTTAGTTTTCACTGTCACATAAGTTCCTTACAGAACTAGGAGGCAGCAATAGCAATTAAAGCATAATTGGATAGAAAATGTTTCTTACAAAGACAGAATATGAGATGTAGGAACAGGACTTTGCTTCTTTAACAAGAGCTTCCTCTAGCCAGTTAGGGCTCCATTTGAACTAATCGAAATGGCTGCAGGTATAATTATATCCTCTTTCATTTAATTACCATTGGAATTCAGAGAAGATGATAGCAAGTAATTGAGAAGTTATCAATTATTACATTAACACACTTGTGACCAGTAAGATCTCACAGATAACTCTAAATTTGAAGAGTTAGGTTTCAACAGTTATTCAGTTATAATGATTATTTAAAATTGATGAAGTATATACTTCTAGCACCAGTGAGATTCATAACAATAACCTGAAAGTGTTAAAGTGCAAAATTAATTTGTAGATTGAATTTCAAAATCAGGCAGAGCTGTCAATGGTCAAGTGGTAAAACAGATGTACTTGCTCCCTTGCCATTACAGGTTAACCTTCTCAATCACATACAGAGCACACAAAGAGAACTGCAAATATTGCAGTGGTCCTTTATTTCCAAGGAATGACTTTAAAAGTGAGGAGAAAGCTTCCTGATCAAAGCAGAAGGATTTGATTTTGTGTTTTCAATGCTAAGACTTGCCTCTTGACATTGCCAGTTAAGTTTGAGAACAAGCATACTCAGTATAAGAGAGAAACGAGTTTGTGGCTGTGAAAGCTTGAAACTAACTCAACCCAAATTTGCAGGGCAAATTCGAACTTACTTGCAGTTGGCAGCACTATGAATGCCAGCCAGTGCAACACTTTCTAGGACACAGGTCCTTTCTCTTTGTGCTTGAGGATCTTCCAAATCACCTCTCTCCTTTCCATGACGGGGCTGCAGGTGAGAAGAGAATATGGGAGTTTCACATCCTTAATGACAAGGTTGTTTCAGTTCTATAACAATTTTCATGTGGACAGAAAAAGGAACTGTAAGGAATAGGGATTCCAGGTCCTGATTCATGCAAGGAAATTCATAAATGAATCTTATATGTGTTAGTAATGTTAAGATAGACTTTATATAGTGACAGAAGGTCTTTGAAAATAGCACAAAAATTTAAAAGTTCTTGTCACAAGGTGTGTGTCAAATGTAAAGTTATTAATGGGTGTGCATGAAAAACATCTCTAAAGAGATGGGAAACCTGAAGGTAGAAACAGCTTCCTTGAAAGGTTATCAGCTTTGGGATTCAGTCACACCTCAGTCCAGATTCTCAACATCGTTCCTATGTGTTTAAGCACCAAAGACATCCCTCAGATCTCAACCTTCTGTAGACCACTGCACTGTGAGAAGTCTCTCTATTAATGCACTTGCAGAACAAGACAGACAGACACCATTACTCACAGGTGTACTGTAGTGCCTGCAGGACTGCAGATAGCCATGGAGTTAGATGCACAGCTGTCAGTAAGGCCTTCTGTAAAACTGTATTAACACAATTTTCTTCTTAATATTTACTATAATTATTGTTGGAAATTATTATTACAAAAAATACTGGTTCCCAAAAAACCTAGGCCCTGCAGTTTGGTAAAACCAGCACTAACAATGGCAGGGATTATCTGATCTATGTGAAACACGAGTTATACTGTAAATTGGGGTGTGACACTGCAGACCACTGACAAAAGCACACAGGACAAAGAGGTTGCTTTGCACTTTGCTGATCTGACCATTTTTTACTGACTCAGCCTTCTCCCTTATCACTGTGGGCTAGGGAGGGATCAGCACAGCTCTTTGGGTCTGGTCAGGGCTGTGCTCTGCTCCTCTTGTCTGGGTACTGTGTGAGAGCATCCCTGTTTGGTGAGGGCACTGCCCTGCTGTCACCTCCATCCCAGCTCATCTTCTGTTGTGGAGAAGTCTAGTCTTGCTGCTCCCTGATGAAAAAAGACATCAAACACCTGCTCTTGCTGCCTGTGGATGTGTAAATCAATTTTTACAAATGTAATTGTGGTGCATAAGCAGTTGGCACTTTCTCCGGGGCATATGAAACTCAAAGGAACCACATGTGAGGGCAGAATCCTTTGCACTGTGACATCCTCCCTGGTTAGGCTGCTAATCAAATGAATTTTTAAATAATCTTTCTGAATGGCCTGAAGTGTTGAAGTATAAGGACAACAGTTCCTATCCCTTACATAATGCTTTTCAGTTTTCATGCTATTTAATAACTTTAACAACTGAAACTACTCCTTCAGGTACCCTTGTAACAATTGATCCTTTATACTTCTATTGTGCCTGACATCTGATGTTCTCAAAGTATTTAATGTATTTATTGGACAAAGCCTCATGCAGTTTATGTGTATGAAGCCTTATAGAGCCAACTGAGTTTTAGAACACAAACAACTTTAGAAAAAATCAGCAGTGTCTTCCTTGCATAGCAAAGGGAAATAAGGCTGATCTTCATGAATCCTTATTGAGATATGAGACTTTACAACTTTCAGCAGTTGAATCTCATGGCCTTTTTTCCCCCCTTTTTGCAAGAGGACAAGTTGAAGCACAGAATGATGAAACAAATAGCAAATCTGAAAACATGCTTCCCATTGATCCATATGGCCTTGACTGTGAAGCAATACTTTGTCCCCTAATGTGGGTCAGGGACACTTTTCCTGTCTTCATCAATGAGGTCTCAAAGGACTGTGAAGGTAAAGAGTCTCTGTGCCCCAGAACATCATGAAAAATCCCCATATTCTCTCCCTCCATGATTTTTCCACCAACATGATATTGGGAAAGTTCCTTTAGCTCCTCCAATTTCCCCCAATATTATAAATAATGCAATGAATGTGGAGTTCTGGCACATGCTGAAGCACCTTTGATCAATACCAGTTTAAGAAAAGTTTAAATTAAATATGCTGCATTACATACTCTTCCAGATTCAAAATGGCAAAATACAAAAAAATTGTGGTAAAAAAATTGCAAGGAATAGAAGCAAACATAGAGCAAACAAGAAATCTCTCAAGCTGAAGACACAGCTGGCAATGTGAAAACTGGAGTAGTGCCAAAAGTCCACCCTTCTCCTGTAAAGCAATAAAACATTTGTCTTGGTGTGAGACATAATAGACCAAGCCCCAAACTACTGACTCTTCCAGGAGACTGTGCACCATGGTGGTACATCAGAGCCCCTGCTGATAACGTGCCAAGGCACACAGATTGTTTTGCTTGTGCTACCCAATGCTAAACTTGCACAGCAAAAGGCTATAAACCCCTCTTCCATGCAGTTAAATTTTTTAGAGCTCTTCCCAGGCTTGATGCATTGCTGAGATGATACAGCATGCCTCATTGCACTGTGACACTGTGTCAACAGCACAGATTGCCACCAGCTTTCTCCCTCACTTCCCAAGTACAGGACTGCAGTTCAGTGTCACTGTTTACTTTTTGTGAAATTGAGAAAGAAAAGAAAAGGAAAGCAAATTCACCAGGTGCACTGGAAGGGTTGGTTTCTTTCCTCTCTAGTATGCACAATGAAATTATTCAATTTTTTATGCAGGTGTCAACAAGTTCCTCTCAACACGCCAGCTATTAGAAACGAGTATGTAACACAGCTGCTGGTTTACCCTTCTCACAGGGCAAAAGGTAGGACAGGAACAGTGCAAGATATTCAGAGCATTGCCAGGAGGAGAAGAATCAGGCCTATACTTCACTTATATCCAGTTACATTCATCTGCCTAAAGTCAGACTCCTCTCAGGTCCACTAAAACATGCAAGTAAGAAACGACACAGACAACCTTTAGACCTCAAACTTTGGCTCACAGCTTTGGGTTTTGTGATATTCCTGCATAAGCCTACCTGCCTGGGAGCCTGCAGAGCTGTAATCATTTCACAGGGGCTGGGAAGCAGCTAGAAGTTTCTCTCTTACCGCTCCATTTTTTCCCCTGTTTAGACAGACTGGCAGCTGAGGGGACACCAAGAGTGGCGCCAGGAAGATTTCTGAGATGCTGCAAGACATGTGGCAGCAGGGACCTCCCTCCTGCTTAGGTCTGAGCACAGGGAGATGTGACATTTTTGAGAGCACTGATTAAGGAAGGCAGTCATTACAGGCATGTGAATAATCAGTATAACTGCATTTTAAATAAGGCACAGGAAAAAGTGAAATTGCAATTACACTAGTAAGAGTCATCAGTTGATAGCGCTACCAAAAGCCCTTGTTCTTTGAGGAGACAGTTAACAGAGCTTGAGGGAGGGTGGGTTTTAATGATTTTAACTGTCCCATCTTATACTAAATACTGGCACTGGTCAGACACTTGAAGCTAAGAAGGTGCTCAAGCATCCTGCTGAGTAAGGCTTTGAATCACCAATTCCTCTGGTTGACTAACTGGGATGTGATCCAGCCACAGCAATCTAGCAAGCTTTTTATGGCGTAATGTCTGAGAAATTAATTCCTCTGATGTCCAGCCTCACAACTGGCCATGCCTGCTTGCTGGGCACAAAAAAGACCTCCAGTATTGGCAGAGATTTCCCGGAGTACCTAACAGAGAAGGCAAGCAGGTGCACACAGTTTGCTGGAGATTCAGTCATCAAAGTCTATTCATGTTAGCAAGAGCAGATATGGATAATACTGGTACACGTATATGCCAAGAATATTTTTTACAATTCTGAGCACCCTTTAACCCAAAGTCAGGGAAGTCTCAAGAAAACCAAACGTCTTCTCATTTGGCTTTTTCTAAGTGCAGAATTACTCTTATGTTACAGTGAAATTATATTATCTTCTGGTTTTGCCCTCTATCAAATATAGATTTCTTTCTTTTGCCAAATTTTCTAGTGTTTTTGTAAGCCAGAGTGAGCTTTTCCTTCGTTCTACCTGCCAAGATCATACATTAACACCTATGTCTTTGTGCTTCACTTAAAAGATTTTTCCTTTTACAAAGCCAAAATTAGACATATATTTACTGTTACTATTAGCATATAGTATATGATATATCTGAGCATAAAGCTGAAAATATGTACCTAAGGACTGAGAATTCTCTAGCAATTTCATTTTGGTGTGATTAGTTGTTGAATAGTATAGATTAATTTATTTCATTCTGTGAGATCCCTTGTCACATAAAGGCAATGCTCAGTGACTTAGGGCAGACTTAGAAATCTGTTCTTAATGATGTTGGAAACATTGCAAATGCATGAATTAAGGAATAGCTTTATACTTTAAAGAAAGCATTTGATTTTATTAGCCTGGGGCATTAGAAGACATAAAAGATGTAGTGAAGTTATTCCCCCGCCTCCTTTTTTTGTCATGAGGAACTGAAATATAATGTATATACTTCTAGCATGCATTTATCTCTTCTTCCTGACAAGCCTTTAAAGAAATGCTTGACCTAAATGTCAAAAACTTGGTTGTAGTTTTAAACTGAAAGACCAAAGAGGAGATAGGTTCCTGACACGCCATATCTTAATTTTTCAGGAAGGAAAAAGACAAAATCAACATGTGTTAAGAAAAGTTGCAAGAAAATTCAGATGAGAAAGTAGAGGTGAGAAAATCTAATTTGATTACAAGGGTACAGATGCACTGGAGGTCAGTGCCTGAGCACTGCTGAGAAGAGTTGAGAGCCTGAGCTTGCTGCCTGTTACCAATCTGTGCTTACCATTGCAGAGAAATTTTACATGTGTGTGTGCACTCATGCTGAATTCTGGATCCAGGGTGCATCTTAACTGAAGACACCCTTCGGACTGGAGACAGAGTGGGGGTTGGAGACAGAGTGCAGATTTGTGCTGGAAATAACTCTCCAGATCCCTGCTCATGGCTCTGGCAGCCCTGATGTGCAGACACGGCGCCAAAGGCTGGCTGCAGATTCAGCAGCCCCGCTACTCGCACCCTGCTAAGCAGGTTTTCCCATAGTTGGTATCTACTCACTGTTATG